TTTTGTTATATGTAAACAGGGACAACTGTCATTGTGTAAATGTCACCCCTCTGCAAAAAGTTCCGATTTTTTTCAAGGAAGATAACTCTTACCCGGATCGAAGTGATTGTAAAATGTAAAATAAATTAATTATAAAGCCATTGTGTATATTTTGTTCAATTTCCCATTCTATATGTATAGATCTTTGTGTCCTGTTGGCTTTTAGCTTGTAGATAATCACTTTTATCCGTACAAATTCAATAAAAAACACTTTGTGTAACATGTGTTACACTTTTTGCGATAAATAAAATATTTGTAGGGTTAATTAGAAATGCTTCTTTTCATTTTATTATTGTTGTTATTGTTCCGAACAATGGCACACACAAAAAAAACCCCGGAAAATATTAAAATTGACGAAAATTCATTTTTTTTGTATTGTTTCCAAAAAAGTCCCCAAACTATCGGAATGTTTAGATTTTCATAAAAGCAACTCTACATAGTTGCATAACCATTATATGAAAGTTTCAACGAATTTTGGTGGTTAATTGCGAAAGTGTGGAGCCACCTTAATGCTGAACGTTAAGCAGGGAATAAAAACTACCATTTTAAGGACTTTTGTATGTCCCAGCCTAGGGACAGAGCCCATTGCCCTCCTCACCTAGGCGAACGCTCACCATTCAAGCAAAATGTGAGGTGGTGCCAAGCAAGGCGCTTAGGAAATAAAAAAGTAGTTGGAAATAGAAAGAAAGATGAAGATCCCAAATATTGCAATGAGCGCAGCAGATTTATTTTGGTCGCTTTTATGTCCCAAAATAGAGGACACCAAAGCAAATCCCCAATTATGCAGGGGTTCGCACATTAGTCGTCTCCTACGATACCTGCAGTGGGTAATAGCAGGTGTATTGTTTTCCCAATCCCCCACCTGCAGGAATTATTTTTAAATATAGGTAAAGTTTTCTGCATTTTGTTATTTGATTCTCTGCTTACATAGGACGACATTCCCGTGACGATGCGTGCAGCTTCCAGTCGATATTTTTTTTTTATTTGAATCGCCCGGGAACAACCATCACATATCTCACAGACGTACTCTAACAAGGGCAGAATAAATTATTTAAATATTTTGTTCAAAGTTTTACGAAATAATTTTTATTTAAATCGACACAACGCTCCAATTCATTTCGAGGTATTTTTACAAATATGTTCAATATGTAGGGTCCATCGAAGGTTTGCACCCAGTGTAATTCTCAAATGTTTGTGGCTTTCAACAAAATGTATGGCTACATCGTCAAACGTTAGATTAATATCAAGTTCGGATTCAGTGTTAAATACTAGTAATGCCTCAGGTTTTTACCAAATTGTTGATTATTTTTAGTTTAAAGTTCATTATAGTTTCAATATTTAGAAGTAAATTGTAAGAATATGTAATAGACGTATTATCTGCAAACAGTCGTGAGAGGCTTATCAAATTATAAGTAATATCATTAATAAATAAATTAAATAACGGAGGCCCAAGTACAGAACCCTGAGGCGTTTGTTGTTTAAGTATCTGATAATATATT